GTAACTTTGTTCTGTTCAGTTGGAAATGTGTTGTTTAATAAGTTTAGTGAATTCAGATAGTTACTTGCCACCCTCTTATTTCAGAGTAAACCAAAAGTAAATGTTGATTGACAATTTAAAAGGGGGGAGATGTGATGATATTTAGCTGTAATGATTGTGTAGGCCCACAGGGTGTCACTGTGGGCTGGTATATGCTTGAATAACGAGGTACGCGAAAAAGCCCATGTTAGGGAGTTGTTGAAAGAGTTCTCCGAATGATGTTCAAATAAAACCCTTCACCAAGTCACAAATGAAAGTCTCTGTGAGCTTCATGACACTTAGGTAGAATTATGAATGCATGCCTTTTACTTGTGGTGGAGTACTTTTACATGGTTCTATTGGTATTTAAGAATATGAGTGCTTCTTCCTCCATTGCCTGCTATTTAATAGAAAAAACGGATGCACATCTGTCTAGAAAGTATAAGCCTCTTCAAAAGCAGTCTCCATGGGTTATACGGTTCTGTGCACGCCTGGAGATTTAATTTATGGCAAAGATGAATGAACGTGGGGTTAAGGTTGAATTCTGCCTTTGTTTACATGTGTAAAAGCCGTAAACGCCGCTGGGTAGCAGTGTCAAGCCCCTGTACGGTTCAGTATACGTGGCATACGGCGGTTGCAGTACCATGTAGGGGGGTCTGTCTCTCGTCAAATCGCGGGGCATTGTGGGGCGGAGGCGGCCTTTCTCTGCGTCCAGGCGATCGGGAAATCTTTAAGTAAACGTTATCGGTGGGAGGACCAGTCCGAGTCCAGCCTTCGAAAACAGATAAAATACATCAAAACCTCGTTGTGCTGAGCCCCAATTATTTAAAAAAATAAAAATAAAATCGTATTATCACATAAATATGGGGCAGGAGGATCTTATGAGCGCAGCCGAAGACGTGGCAGACCAGGTAACTTCTGTTTTAGCGCCGCAGTTATTACCGCTAGCAGCTGTTAGCATGTTATCCGCTAACTAGTTTGTATGAGAATGAAGTAACGTTTAGGTTCCTGAGTGGCTCTTTCAACATTTTAACACATTTATTTATTGTTTACATAAATCCATAGTGGCATGTTGACAGCGTTAAATACAACATTGGATCAACGCATCAGCTAACTTAATGTTAGCCGTGTTTTGATTTGCATGGCAAATGTTGAGGTGTCACATGGATTTGGTAACATAATTTCACACAGCTAAAGGGAAGATGGGGTCTGCCAGGGAATAATTTATCTGACGTTTATTTAACATATGTACATGTAGTTGGTTTCTTTATCATGCGTGCTAGTTCGCTTGTCGTCTAGCCACCCGGTTAATTAACAGCATCACAGTCTGTGTCAGCCAAGCCAGACGCTACCAGACAGCGGTTGTGAAATCACGTATGTTAGCTTAGCCAAGTTACTGGCTAACACTTAACACTGTGTATTAGCACACTTATTGCATGGTGATATGTATTTGGTTTTCGTACCGCTAAGTTCACCCCAAGTCTGAATGTGAACCCCGCCTGCCTTTCTTTGGGTTTTAGGCTTTTCTGGTGTGACTACAGGCAAAGATGGTCTATAGGAAGTGAGCTGTAATGTCTGTGTTATCAGATCTGCTTGTGACCCCTGTTACTGTGCAGACTGGGATAAACCCCCAGACTGGAGAACCTTATGTTTTCGCAGAAGTCGGATTTAATGTTAGTTATGTCCTTGGTGGAACGCTGTCAGCTCACATGTATGATGCAGTCAGCTATGTGTATGTTTATGGCAAATGTGCTGATTGAAATCAACACAAACACTGAAACTGCTCTATTTCCCTATAAATACACCTAATTTATAGGCTCATATTATGAGTGCTGTGTCATGCACGTCGTAAAAACGTCATGAAAAAGGAAACTGCCAGCTACACTTGGTTTGTTTGCTTTGGGGGAAAAACCTCCCTGCTAAGCCCATTTTAAGGGTACACCCCTTAATTGGTCCTGAGCAAACAAGTTAGACGTTACCCCACAGAATGGTGTATTTCTAGGCTGTTGCTGCAACCCTGGGCTTGTAGGGATTGGTTTCCAGTTCGCCCATTCATGTCCCACTAAGCAGTCCTAGTGCGAGCTGGTGGACGTTGATAGGCTGCTGAGTTCTGACAGTGCTGATGTGGACTGCTGAGTAGGAGGGGCAGGGGGCAAGGCGCTCCTACTCACTGTAGTGTCTTCTGAACAAAATAGAACAGTTTCTACTTTTCTTTAAATGTTAGTTTTCAAGGAACACAAAAGGCCCTTTGGGGTTGTAACAGAGAAGTACAGCCCTGTTATTGCCTTAGGGTTTGTATACCTCAGCAGAAATTCTACTCTGCACTTTTTGCCTCTTTACTCTTTTGAAGTCAGATGCATCGGTTTGTTGTGTTCACATCCAGTTAAAAAAATTGGTAAGGACACTTTTGTAGTATTTGTTTCCCTGTAATTGACAGCACGTTATAATTAGTAGAAGTCCCAATGATTTCTTTTGTTTGTTTAGACTTTTATTTATTTATTTTTTAAAGAAGTATTAAGGGTACTTGTTTAAATTCAGTGTGTAATGTGTTCCTGCTTGGTGATCCAGTATAATGTTGATTCTCTGTTTAGCTGCTGTAAGCAATCTTAGCAGTGCCTCAGAAACCACATCCTGTTGTTGTTGTCTTTAGAGCTCAGATCATCCTTTTTCATGTCAATCACCTGTCATCTCTGTTACGCAGTTCCTGCGGGTAACCAAACACTACCTGCCCCACCTGGCACGTCTCTGTCTCATCAGCACCTTCCTGGAAGATGGCATCCGCATGTGGTTCCAGTGGAATGAGCAGAGAGACTACATCGAGGCTACCTGGAACTGTGGCTACTTTCTGGCTACTTGCTTTGTGCTGCTTAACCTCATTGGACAGCTGGGTGAGTGAATGTGAGGCAGGTTAAGGTCAGGACAAGAGATGACTCAATTCGCATTTTACTGTTGTAGAAAGTTATATCTTATTAAGTATTATTTAGTAGTGTGTGAGTGTGACATGAATTCTGACAACAACAGTAAGAGTGAGTGAATCAAACCGCTAAGCAAACAGGAAAAATTAGCTAAGAATATTCATACTTTGCAGTTTGAAGTTGGGAAATCGAAAGCATCAACTAAATGTTTTCTCGTTGAATGTGTGGACCTTCATTGGCCTTAGTCTAAAACTTAGGCAAATAGGTTAAATGAATGAAAGGTTTAATAGTGTGCTAAAACCGTCTCTGTTACTCTTTGTTGAATGTGTAGTAACAGAAGACATTTCTAGTAGATGGGTTGTTTATTATGTTGTCCATCCTTCCATACAGCCCATTCTTGTGAAAACGTTATCTCAGGAATACCTTGAGGGAATTTCTACAAATTTGGTACAAGTGTCCACTTGGATTCAGTGATGAACTGATTAGATTTTGGTGGTCAAAGGTCAAGGTCACAGTGACTTCACTTCTGTCCCATACACATTCATTTCACTGGTTGGTGACAGTTTATAACTGATAAGCGGTAATTCTAGTTTGTTCTTGCCACGTATGGACCAGGACATGATTCTGAGGCAAGCTACAAGTTAGTTTGGTTAGTCTGCTGCCTTGTCTACCTAATGAAATATTCATCGGTCTAAGATCTTAGCAGAACCCACAACACAGTGTGATTATCATCTTCATCAACCAGAAACCATTCTTTGCAAGCGACCCAATATACAAGTGGAATTTCTTTTAAGCAAAGTCATTTTTCTAAGTAGCTACAACTTTCCCTTTGAACATCTTTGACTTGTGTGTCCTAACAGGTGGTTGTGTGCTTATCCTCAGTAGAAATTTTGTACAGTATGCCTGCTTTGGATTATTTGGCATCATAGCGCTACAGGTGAGAACAATTACTTTATAACTATCTTTTTGGTGTACATATGCAACAGTATGTCAGTGTGTAATCTGGAATATTGTCTTTTTCCTATCAGACAGTTGCATACAGCATTTTATGGGACCTTAAATTTTTGATGAGGTAGGTGTCACTCTAATCTCAGTTAACAAATTAAAAGCAATTCTATTATTTTTAGTAATGCTATGTATCAGGTTGCAACCAGCTGATTACCTCCCAAACATAATCAGCCATCAGTGATTACCAAATCTTTGTACAAAAATGGGGAAAATATTAAATAAATACTAATAATGACAAAACTGTTATTGTAATTTAAATATTATATAGCTGTAGAACTGAAGAAAACTAAATAACCAGTTAAGTCGCATACGTCATGTTATGTCAGCACTTGAATGTGCATAAGTGTGCTCCTCAGCGTACGTAGATTCTGTTCTTACCTAAGGACAAGTCCCAGATAAGAAAACATTGGTGAATGCCAGGATCTTCATGAAAACTTTGTAAGTGGGTTTTACAAACAAACCTGTTCTTAAGAATGTTTGGTGAATGTGGCCAAATGTTATTAGCATAGTGACAGGTTATTTCTGGTGTTAAGTTTTGAATTTTACTGTTTATGATCATAGATTAGAAGTAGCTTAATTAGAAAGAATAGTACTTCTCTTCCAACAATGGAAACTTTCATTTGCTTCTAGTGGTAGTAGATGAGAAAGCACTTCAGCTGTCAAGCAGACAGCAATTACTATAAGTACTACAGACAAGACCTGTGATTTATTTACACTGACAGGACAGATGAGTCATGGGCCATCTGAGAAATCTGTTAAATATAGGGCCACCATGGTGTTTTCTGTATACTGACAACTATCACATCATTTAAAGTACACATAATTCTGAGTTTCATTTAGTATATGAGCTGTCTTAGCAATGAATTGGACAAAAAAAACTAAAGGGTGCCAGTGATTGGTATGTGCTTTCAGATATTTTCCTGCCCATTTGTCCAGAAAAAAAAAACATTCTTCTGTCTCCTTTCCCAGGAACCTTGCCCTTGGAGGGGGTCTGCTCCTGCTGCTGGCTGAGTCTCGTTCAGGGGGAAAGAGCATGTTTGCTGGAGTCCCCTCCATGGGAGAGAGTTCGCCAAAGCAGTACATGCAGCTGGGCGGTCGAGTCCTGTTAGTGCTCATGTTCATGACTCTACTACACTTTGACTCCAGCTTTTTCTCTGTGAGTACTGACAACACCAGTCACACCTTAAATGATGAGGCCAGTAATTTTTTTTCCACAAATCCCACACAGACACTAAAACTCCTGCCTGTCGGTCAAAGCACTCACGCCCTTAATTATACATAACTTTTATTCTCAGTATAATTTAAACAGATGAGTCATCCCCCGTACGGTTTTCATGGAAGGGGAAATGACTATAGGGACCAAAACTGTTTTTTGTACCAGGCTGTAAACATGTTTATTTCGGCTGTAAAGCCATTTTAACACGGGACTCTATGGGGACTGACTCCCTTTGGAGCCAGCCTCGTGTAGCCATTCGAGGAACTGCAGGTTTTAACAGTTCCGCACTGACTTCGTTTCTCGGCCTCTGAGGTTGCCGTTTGCCCCCACTGCTGACCAAAAACTATTAAAAACACCACTGAGCTGTCACTGCTGCACTGGGTAACATGTTTCTTCCTCACAAAATACATGGGGTACTTGCATTGGTGTGTTAACATGATGAACTATAGGAGTGATGCATACAGAGCAGAGATCACTTGCTTGTGCAGCTTGACTCTTCCTTACTTCAGAGACTGTGCAAAGTAATGGCTGTTTAAGCATAGGAGGCTGTTTTTGAAAGAAGTTGTACCCAGTGCATTTCATGAGAAAGAAACATCCTAGCTCCTGTGAACAGCAGTGGAACAATTAAGATGTCCTTCAGGATGGAATGATTTCCTGGTCAAGCCATGACCGAGGAACAGTCAGTTAAGGGACATTTTGTTCTGCTTGGTGAATTTGAAACATAAACTGCAACCCTTCACCCTTCCACTTGAACTTTTATTTCCTTCAACAGATCCTGCAGAACATGGTGGGGACTGCCCTTATCATTCTGGTGGCCATCGGCTTCAAAACCAAGTTGGCGGCATTGACCCTTGTCCTGTGGCTTCTGGCCATCAATGTCTATTTCAATGCTTTCTGGACCATCCCCGCCTACAAGCCCATGCACGACTTCCTCAAGTACGACTTCTTCCAGACCACCTCGGTCATCGGTGGCTTGCTGCTAGTAGTGGCCCTTGGGCCTGGCGGAGTGTCCATGGATGAGAAAAAGAAAGAGTGGTAGGCAAAGGGGGTTGAAATAAGAGGATTGCACAGCACCACTAACCACCCTGACCACCGGGACACAAAGACCCTCTCTGTACTCCCCACTGGGGTACACAGTTTTTTATCCTTGCTTTTTTCTAATTTGGCCAAATCCAGACACAATTTCATCTCGATCATTGGACTTTTTTTTTAAATTTCATCCCAATTGATGGTTTTTTTTTGTTTTTTTTTTTTTTTAGTTGACCATAATAATGACATTCTTTCCTTTCACCTTCCTTAAATGTCCTCTTTTATCATGACAACAGTTATTACAGAAGGCCCTATGTATTTCTGAGAAAACAATGAATAGATGGCAAGTGGAAGAAAAATGTATTTGCTCTGTTCAAGAATGAAAAGAGGTTGTTATGTTATATGGGTCTTATGCCAAACATTGTCATAGACTGATTTTCTGAAGAGTTCAGCAGTGTGTGCTCCCCCAATGGATGCTGGTCTTGTTCTGTCCGCCAGATCTTGGGAGTGTCTGAGACTGATTTGACATCTGTACACTTTCACTCACAGCTGATTGTTGTTCCTGAGGAGCTGAATCTCTGTGTTGTGGTGGCGGGGGCATGTACACTGTATACGAAGTGGTGGATTGCAGTCATTCTTGATTGAAAATTTCATCACAGTTGTTAGCTGCAGGACTTGTTATTGGGCACTTTGTACTGTACGTCTCTGGCAAATGCCTAACTAGTGAACTGTATATGATCGGGGTTTATAAGTGGGGAGACTCGACATCCGTGAAACACCGTATTCTGCGATCTAGAAAAGCAGAGAGGACTAAGCAGAGCCACTAGCCACCTGGACTTGGTCTTTGCTCAGTGTTGTTTGCCCTGTTAAGAAAATTAAAAAATATATTCAGTGTATTGATTTTCAGAAGTTTATATTGTATTTTTGATCTTTTTTTTCTGATTTTGGAAGTTCATGGCGAAGAAATAAAAATTCAGAATTATAAAGTCTCAGTCTAGGTTTTCAGGTCTTATGATGCTCTAAGAGGATGAAGGACACTGGGGGACCAGATAGTCAAGCCTGTGTAAATTTTCTACTAATGAAGCCCATGGAGTACAAACATGCAGTACTGTATACACGTAGACCATGGGAGGACTTGTTGGATATCACAGACATTAAGTATACATAGGTTTTGGACTGGACAGGTGCTGACATCAGCCTCCACTGACAGGAGAGTGATTTAAAGAGCAAATACTGACCTCTAATGGACTGCTGCAGTACACGTTCACTGCACTGGAGCATTTGATCTTTTTCAGCCATGTTGATTCACTTGATGGCTCTGCTACATACAATATGTAAAGATCTCAAGACATTTGTGTTTTGATTGCTGCGATGATCAGAAAAGCACTTTTGAGTGTTGTTTAAAGTGCTAACTTCTGAAAATAACAGCAATTATGTTCTTGCCAGACAAACACAACTTAAACCTATGCTTTTATAAAAGGTGCCATGGACTATGGATAAACAACTTTAACTGGACTGAACTGATCAGGTTCCATACTAAACAACTTGTACTGGACTGAACTGATCAGGTTCCATACTGGAATTTCTCTTTTCAACACACCAATGTAAAATTGAGTGTCAAACCTATTCAGATTATTTTGTGGGTGTGGGTAGTTCTCCAGAATAAACACAAGTTGGAAACCTGTTTTTATATGTTTTGAAGTAGGTCACGATTGTTTCCCTTTATGATAACGATGAAAACAGCCCATTCTGTTCTAATCCTTGACCCTGATACAATAGTAAATGGCTCCAACAGAAAAAAAATAGCTGCTGTAAAGAACAGTATAGCAAACAAACATTTAACTGAGCTTTTCAGTACAAAACCTAATGATCAAGCAGTTCAGTTATTTTAAATGTGCAGGGAAACTCGTGTCTGAAAGAATTAGGTAAATGTAACTGGAGTTGGGATTCGCCCTTTTAGAAAATGTTTAAACTATATGGACATAGATGAGGTGTCAGAAACGTTAACTACGTTGTAGATGTCCTGACAAACTCATTGTTTGTAACTTGTACAGTATACATAATACTAATCTATGGTGAGTCACAACAAAACCATCTCAGGGCTCTTTACATGGGTCTAGACCTTATTATTATAATAACATACTTGAACATAAGTTGTTACCTATAAGAAGGTGTCCTTTCTATAATCCCCTCAAATTCTAAAATCATCTCAGGGCTCTTTACATGGGTCTAGACCTTACTATTATAACATACTTGAACATAAGTTGTTACCTATAAGAAGGTGTCCTTTCTGTAATCCCCTCAAATTCTGTGAAAGAAGTTCAACTATGAAAGATTAACAAGCATTTGCAGGTGACCAGTTGAAGGAAACCCCATTATGACCTGTCTTATTAAAGTGCTGGACCACCACTTGACACCAGAGCAGCTTCACTGGGCCTTGGCATTCATTCTACAAGTCGTGCAAGGTTCAAATCCTGGTGTGAATGTATGGCCTCATCACTCTTTCTTGCTCAGCACTGCAGTTTCTTGTTGCTGCTTGCAAAAATAAGCAACACAATACCTTTATATTAACCCAAAGCCGAGTCACACTCATTCAAAGTATAGTCAAATATTAATAACATGAACTCCTGAAATGATAAATGTGTTTGCTTCACATCCTCTAATACCCATTTCCATCACATATCAAGTGGGTGTGGCTGCATTTGGAGCTCGACCTGCTGGAGACTGACTGAACGTATAGGCCAGTTATTGTCCACCCTAATAAAAAGACAACCAATTCACTGGTAAGTACACCATGTCTGTGTATTTGTACAGTGGGTACGGAAAGTATTCAGACCCCCTTAAATTTTTCACTCTTTGTTATATTGCAGCCATATGCTAAAATCATTTAAGTTCATTTTTTTCCTCATTAATGTACACACAGCACCCCATATTGACAGAAAAACACAGAATTT